AAAAAAACTAGGTAGAAGTAATTTTTCCAAAATAAATTTATTCCTTTAGAAATACCACTATCGTTTTCCTTTTCTTTTTTTTCTTTCCCCTTATTAAACGATGTTTTCCTCCAGACAAACTTCAATTATTATCAGTATAATTGTTCTCTACTGATGTCACATCATTTGACCCTTGAACTATTATGTGGAATTCCCACATCAATTCCTTCTCAGTCTCATGCTTTTCATCATTTCGGTCGTCATCTCGCTTTTTTTTTTCCCTGCTTAACAGTAGGCATATCTTTTATCATTTCTTGCAATTGAAAAAGAGTGAAATAGAGTCCTCCGTCCTCAACTGTTCTATGTTGAATACACGACATCAACGACACGATGGCTTCACCCCAAATTGGTTTATCACATGGAAGTTTACACTACCAGCAGTTTTATCACTAACCTTAATCCACCAGATCGGTAAAATGTTGAATACTAAACGTTAATTAAAGCACTAGCTCATTCCTGGTTCCCAACATTTAAAAAAAGTAGAATACATGCATCGTGTGCGACATATACCAGGAAATATTTTTATTTTTGACAAACAGACAACTATGATTAGATACAATCATTAAGAACTGTACGAAATGAAGCCAGTACAAATGACTCCACGAACAATTAAAATTTTCCTTGCCAATGAAAACACCTTATGCTAACATAAAATGTTTTAAGAAAACTGATAAAAAGTACACACTTGTTCCGAGGAAATAACGACGAGATCAGACAATGCTATGCTAAATAATATTGTATAATTTTGCGATGTATTGCGTAATTTAGCAAACTTCGGTGAATATTTGCAAACAAATTCAAGAAACGTAGAAAATGAGTCATCTCTGAAAATTTATTTGAAACTTTGCAGCAATGCTATTTTAGCTTAGAAATTGATAGAATGATATGAAAATATAAAGCAAACAATCAAAACATGAAAAACACTTGTAAAATGGGTACAAGACTGTTCATTGATAAAAAAGAAAAAAAACTCATTCATCATTCAAGATTTTAATTCCATTGACCTATTTAAGAATAACAGAAATCAAATTGTTTTAATGATTTCTATGAAATTACAATGCCGAATAGTGCGTAATAGAAGACGAAAAAAAAAGGAAAAACAGGAGCTTCCAACCAGCCGTTTTTTCTTGCTAGGAAAAATATATAGAGAATCATTAAAACAAACGAATAAGATCAAATCATTCAAGTGGTCAACAAAATTGGTATGTTAGTTTTACCGGAAAAACCCTTACTAACAAGATATTTCAACATTGACTGTTGCAATTTCAGGAATTTACAGCTGTTTTTGAAGCTTTTACCAGCTGGTTTTCACCGAACTACCAGCACTGCTCCACTGATAGCCATATGAAGATTGTTTTCCTTCATACTCATCGTTATAGTACTGAAAATTTGATACTATCTTGTCGAATTAAAGAAAAAAGACCAAAAGTTAACAGGTTCAAGTGATCAGCAATATTCGCTATAAAGCTGATGACCTTCTAAAACTATTTTACATATATTCAGCTTGGAAATTAGTATTTAAATATTATTAAAATTCCATCGGCATTTTCAATGGAATCTAAATAGTAACGAAATAATGGAAAGAGTAGTAAAAAACCTAAATAAGTAGTAAAAAATGGAATCTAAATAGTATTTATTTTATTTTCTAAATAGTATCCATGCAGTGATAAACTTCTGCGCATATTGAATACTTGAAAACATTCCGGACAAGTGCCTAAATTAATAAATGCAGATAAAAATCAAACAAACCTGCTGTCCTCCTGTTGCATAGCTCGCATTGTATCCTGCCGTAGCATTGCTATATCCTGTACTATCTGAAATACCTGACAAATAGGATTAAAGCATCATACAAAGGATTTTATTCAGCTAGGTATTGATCAATGAGACCAGTTTTTTCTTGGCACAAAAATAACGATTCCGAATGCTCTTTGTTACTTCAGAACAAACTTTAGACCAAGAAAAATAGATTCGCAACTCTGTTTGAATTACTGCAATGTTGATATTGGAAGGAATTTCATAACCAATTTTCCAAATCTAGTAAAGTTTGATTTGATTTAGTTAAACGTAGTGGTTTGAAATTTTTAATTAACTTACAGCCTCTACCCGAATCAGCATCCGACCATCCCTCAGCTCCACCAACATCAGCAGGGTCACTCGTTGCATACCCAACACGATTCAGTGAAACTGGCTTGCTTTGAACACTTGAGTAGCGTCCATTTCCCACATCGTTATCGAGCCATTCATCATATCCACCGCAATTAACACGATTCAGTGCTGTTGGACCACGAGAACCTCCTCCACTTATTGCTGATGGATAGTCACCTGTACCACCAATTCTTCGATAAATGACGTACTTTTGCGTAATCGGCACATCAGCTGCGGTAAACAGTTCTATATATCTGTAATGAAACTATCTATTCAGTCTAAGATTTTTACAGGTCGCATTACACTCAATCTGCTCACCATTGAAAGTAATTCATCTCCATGGCAGTGTCCCTAGCACTTATCAAACTAATAAATATCTAAGATAATCTATACTAAGTGAATTCAATCAGTAATTTGCATCCTGTCTATTCAGCCAATTAGGTACATATATGCGTTAACGCTGCACGAAAATCTATAATTGATAATATTCTTACCGATTACCAATGCACTGTTTGTTTCTGGACATTGCGTCTCGCGCTTCGGCTAGCGTCCCAAAAATCACACATGCATCACCAGATGGTCGACGGTCTTCATTGAAACCCAGCTGAATTTCGACACAGTTCAATGGTTTGAAGAAATCTTCGATATCAAGCGCGTTTGCACTGTACGGAAGACCTTAAGAGTAATTAGGTTGAAAACATTTAAATAATCACCAATCCATGTTGAGGTATAATTTAAAAGAGGTATGTGAAGTTATTTAAAAAGAGTTAATAAACTACCTCTCATGTAAACTTTGGCTGGATCATCGCAATCAAAATCATCGTCATAGCTGTAGTCCTGAAAACGCGAGTAACGACTGTATGGTACATCGTAAGGAACAGCACGAGGGCGACTCATACCGACATTTCTCAAAGGACCTCCATACTCCTCTCTTCTGAAATAAATCCATTGCAGCTGGAGGAAAGTAAAAAATGAAAATTCGAACATTTTGTTCAAAATGCATAAGTAAAACACCGATAAAGTCTACCGAAAATTCTAGAAACTAACGGAGAAGATGACACATGTCAGGCAGCACTCAAAATGCATTGTTTTCCCCTACTGACAAGATTTCTATTGTTCATTTTCCAAAAATTACCACACAGATATCGAATCGCTTACCGATACGGGCGCACCCCACCAAGTTTCGCTGTAGCAAAGCGCAGAGGTATAGGTTCGGAACGAGGTGCTGGAAAACTGCGTTCAGCAGCAAGACTTCGCAAAGACGTCGGCGGTGCAATATGACCCTCCTTTGACTTCTCTAGTTCATCACCAGAGCTTCGAAAAACTTCCACATATCTGGAGAATTCAAACAAGAACTAGACAATGATTTTGTAAAATGCCTTACGACCCAAACAACACCACATACTTTCCCAATCATTTTATTTTCCTGTTCCTACTTTATTTCTGCTTATTGCTACTGCTCAATCTGCAAATGAATACCGTGTCAAAAGATTCAGATAACACACCAACTTTAAACAAGACTTTTTTCCAGAAGAATTCTTTAAAATGATCTGTAAAACTAAGAATTTTGTTGCTTGCCCTAATTAATAATTTATTAATGAGAAATAACCAAGAAAATCCCATATATATATTAATGGATTCCGCAAAAAACCCAATAAGAATTCAAACAAAAAACTAGATTTTTCAGTCCTTTTGACTAACTTCCGTATTATAAGTAGCAAAAATCCTATCTTGTAAAATTTAAAAACTTCAAAGTATATTTGGGGAGTAATATCATATCGTTACCATGATACCGTTAATGAAAGAACACTGCTGGATTTCATAAAGATAAGGTTTAAATTTGCTACAAAAATCGAACTTTCCTCATTAGTGTGCAGGAAAGCTAAATATATTTAATCGCTCTATTGTCTTCTCATAGTGCTGACAAATACCTTTTCTAAAAAGAAAAAGAAAAATTGCTAACAACTGCTAACACTTCTAAAATCCAGCGTTCGATTGTCAACAGTATCATTGTAACCAAATTAATTTTGTCATCATGGTAATTCAGATGGTAAATCACTTGTTTGATTAAAACGTAATTTCATTAAAAAGAGGTAAGTAGCACGTTATCTGATGTTTATTTGCCCATACCTCGAACCCATGTTGTTTCTGTTCCGTTCCAGGGCCATCTCGGCATGCTGTTTGCTGGCGAACCGTACGAATGCCTCCCCAGATGGGCGACCCCCCAGCTCCTTGTCGATGACAACATCTGCCACTTCCAATCCTATATCCCGTACTTACACCACCAAATAAATGAGCAATGAGGAGACACCTCCCTTCCAGAAATATGAAATTACTGATCGATTCGCATTAAAGCAAAACATTCAATACTTGAAAACTGCATTAGATGATCCAGAAAGCAGAACGTGTGAAAATACATTAATGACACTAATTCCTCATATCTGCTAGTATCTGAGCCCTTTCTCGAATCAAAGAAAAGGCAATTTGTCCGTGTGTAAGTGCACCGACAATACATCAGGACAAATACTCCACATCCTATCTCGAGAAACGCTGAAACTCACAGCTGACAACTATCGATAGGTACTTTTGAAATAATACCTACAAAACACCGTAAAACAACGTACCAGTGAAGAATTCTTTCACGTCATCATTCGTTGCGCTGAATGGTATGCCTCGAAGCCTAACAACAAAATTATAAGGCGTGTCTTGATCACCTTTACGAATCACATTATGCCGCGTCATCCAGACCACTTCACTTTCTGTTACGTTGAATACTACAAACATATTTGGGTAACTTAGATAAATTTAAATGAACTGAGAACTTCAAATGATATCTTACTTGCCCAATTTTCACCTTCAACTTCTTTTTCCGCTAAATACGCCACCAACCACTGCAATAACAAAAAATGGAGAAACCTGTTCAGTGCTCTGGTACCTAAACTAAAACATTCCGAAATGTACCGAACAAATTTCTACCAAACAATTCACAGTGCTTAAATCTGCCGATATTACTTTAATTATAAGCTAAAATCGAGAGACAGCCTTTTAAAGAAGTAGGAAGAGACCCTCAATGTAGCGATTGTTCATTTCTTGCTTGTCAAAGCGCTTTGCTTCTTCTGCTGCTGCTTTATCCACTAATTCCACATAACATTCACCGCTCGCTCGACCCATCGATGTTAGCGTAAATGTTACTGATCTTACTTCCAAACCTAAAACTAAATCATATGTTTCGAAAATTTTGAATGCACTGCTAATAGTCCTACTACAGCTGAACAAGACTAAATAGGATTTGTACAAGTTTTTTAAAGAAAAGAAAGTGATAATTAAATCTTGAACAATCTATCTGCATAATTCACATAGGATAATTTGGAGACTGTACAGACAAAGATGCTTCTCACAGAATCGACCCTTCATCATGCAGAACAGATCATACAATATAGGCTGTTTCTAATCTAATCTGTTGGAAGCGCAAAGAGTAACGATTAGAACAGGACCTAAAAAGCTAAAACCTTAAGATATGTCTAAATCTAATCCTGAAAAGATCACGACCTTCCAGAAATGCCCGAACATCATCTTCTTTGGCCGAAAATGGTAAACCACGAAGTCTGATATAATTTGACGTGTTAGGATCCACTTCCTTCTCTGTTGCCGTCGTCACTGCAGTTTCTTCTGCCTCCGTCTCCACTACCGTTTCTGTTGCCGTTTCCGTCTTTGTCTCAGCTTCTACCACTTCTTCCGTTATTACTTCTGGCTGATCCGTTATCACTTCTGGCTGTTCCGTTTTCACTTCTTCCATGATGCTTAAGGCTAAAAGATACTTATGCTAGTGTAAAATAAGAGCAAAAATCAACAATCAGAACACGTAAATATCACGAGAAACCCACATGACCTCACACCTAACACACCCTCCCACCACTTCCCTAACTTCAACCGACCGCTAATAGCGCTCATGTCTGCCAATCGATGACCGTACACCGATACCCACAAGCAATGTTTCGCTTCAGGACCTTCTTTGCCTACTGTAACGGATCTGCTTGCAGGATATCGGTTTCAGTTGCAATGGAATTTTGGATTCCATGAGTTTGGCTATTAAAGTTAAAAAAGACGGTATGCTGGAGGGGCTCAATTTACCATTGGAGTAGTCTTTTAATTTGTATTCATTAACCTATGACATTATTCATGTTTTAATTCACTTAACATTGCGGTACTATGATAAAGAAGCTTAGTTTTTTTTGACCCAAAGTTATGGAAAAGTTATAGGACTAAAAATTAAATCAAATTTAAAAATATAAGATTGAAAGAGTCAAAAAACTAAAATTAAGTCAAGTTGGTGACAATTTATAAGTAATATATGAGTACTGGATGTTAGATTCAGTGATTGGCTATAATTTAAGATAGCAATTACGGCAAATGATATGTCTGATTTTAGTAAAAGGCGAAATTTTACCTAATCATAATAGTATGGGAATTTGATTCTTTTTTTGTTTTTTTGAAATACGTTACAATTAAATCGATTTCCAGATATGCAACAAAAAACAAATCATCAAATTGAAGGAAGATATGCGGTAAACTGTTACATATTAGTTGACGACGTAACCGAAAACTAAATCTTCGGTGTAAACTCTGTGAATGTTAAATTTGATATTCTGTTATTTAGACAATTTTGTTTCATTAGGCTAAGCAATAAAAATATTCAGCAAATTCTGCAATAGTGATAATAAAGCTGGAAGTGAAAACCTGTTGGTGCAAGAGATGTGATCCGATTGCTAATCAATTCAAACAACGAAAACAACAAAGCCAACTGATAAAACGATGATAGAAGTAGCGAAAAGATGTAACGAGTTTATTCCATTTGATACAACAATTATGTGCAATGTCATCAACGAGACAGCTACAAACGACAAGGATTACATCGCGATATTGCGAATTACTATGGTAAGTTTAATCAAGTTAAGCATAATAAGAATTAACACCTTATGTTATTTTTATGTTGTGTCTGTTTATGGAGTTTTGTATGTGAAAAAGAAAAAAAAACTCATCTTTCGCCATAATACTAACGACTGAAAAGCAACGAGCCAATGAAACGTCAAACTTGGCCAAAGTTGAACGAAATGAAAATCAAGTACAATACACAAGTGATAATAGACCTTCGCAAAACTTAGGCAGTAATGGATCAAGGAAAAAAACAAAATCATTGCGACAACAAATGCCGACTGTATTATTCCTCTGTAAAACAACGGCTATAGCAGTGAATTCAACTTGCGAAATTGTGAAGTGAAAAGATGATGCTTATATCACAAGAAATTTCACGATTAGATTCTATGTGATGTATTTCATAGAGACTAGAAGGAATCGTAAGGAATAATCTAAAAGTGCTTAAAGAAAGAAAAAAAATCCGATGTATGACAAGTAATGCAATAGCAAACTGCAAAACTCAATAAAACATCCTGTTTTTGTACTATAAGATCAGGATGATCAATCCAAAAAGACTTAAGATTCACATGGAAGCAGCGGCACCTTTCAACACAGGTTCGCGGAAGTCATTCACTTCAAGGAAATGGCAAATTCGTCCTTCTCCACAAATAAAAATGACAAAATGACAAAGCAATCAATATGACAAAAAAAAAATACGCTCGTGACAAATACATGACGTTATTCAATTATGACAAACACATAGTGTTATTTGATCTTTTTCATACGAGCAGAATATATTCCCAACTATGCACTTGTTTTTAGTCTCTAATTTCAGTATGACTACTATTTCAGTACGACACAGTCGTCGATTTAAAAAAAAAATACACGAACATAACCATTTAGGTAGATACGAATATTCCTATTTAGTTAGGGATTACATTTCCATTCCTATAGTATTCAGTATCGATAATTTTACAAAACTGCCAATTTTTGATGAAAGAATTAATAAAACGAATCATTTCAAACTAATAAAATAAAAATTTCTTCGTAATAAGTGTAGAGATCACAAATAAATGCCTGATTGAGAAGGTATTTTGATCCTGTAGCAAGCTGTAAAAACGCTATAAATCATAAAGATTCTGTCACTTTTATCGGTCTTTATTGAACGACCTTATTCTACTTTGAGTGTAAAAAAAAAAAACCCTTTTATGGATAGGCGAGACATTGCATATACTGGAACATGAAACGCAAACCATCCGACAATATGATTTGACTATTTTATTGACTACGATCTACTGACATATCACAGCAATTGGGTATTAATTTATCTTACAGATAATACAATACGAATAAATCACAACTCCAAATTAGAAACATGTGAAAAACATGTCGAAATGTCGATTCACAGATCATGCAAATAATGAATTCTCACTAAGGAATGATAAAAGAAAAGCACAAAGCTGGCTCATATGCCTCTCACCAATTCGGTTCCCTCGATGCTGTTTTCAGGTATCTTACTGGAGATACCTGAAAATTGGAGGTTTACTGCTTAAAGATCCATTTTCAACCATGGCTTGTAATTTGAAAATAGACCCAGTAAGTCGTTCAGTCGTCCACGGAAGCATGATATATGCGTTTGCAATTCAGCCAAATGTACCTAATCCTGACTGTTTTAGCATTAATCAGCTGGGACGTAACATCAACACACTGGATAGATAAAAAATTACGACTTACATTTCTAAGTCAATCTGCGGTAATGTTTATTTACTATAAATACTAATACTATAGAATCACAAATTCACAACATGTGGCAAGAAAGAACTTATCTACCACTAATATGAAATCTTTTACTATGCAAGTAAAAATATTTGTAAAGATACAATTCGTAAGAGAAAGTGAAATAAATTACTGTTGCGCCAGACATTCCAGTGTCAATTTAGAGCTACATAAGAAACTGCATTTTCGATTTCACCTCGAAATCCAGATTTGGGATTTTCCTACTAGAATGCCGAGCTCGTAGCAGACCCACATGGTAGTATGAATGGATCTTGTTGTCCGACTCATACGATACTATCACAAACTACAATCATAGTAAGAATTGAAGTGAAATTAAACCATTAAAAACAATGACATATAAAAGATGTAATCCACCAACGGAAAAGTTTTGCAGCCTTGATTTATGAAGGAATGAATTTATGAAATAATGTTTAACTCTTGACTGAAACAGGTCTTTTATTTCCTTCTCTTCCCTTGATCTCTTTGATATCCTTTGCCCCTCCTCCTCTTGGATAATATTTGTCTAATGTTGATCCAGGAATACGCTTTAACATTTCACGTGGGAATATTCGCAATAACTGCCATCCAATATCTAAGGATTCGAAAACTGTTCGATTTTCATAGTTACCTGAAACATTGTTTCATGCTCAAAGACAACTGTTTTATTCTATAATCTTAATTGATGCTCAAACTTCCAATCAAATCTTCAAACTTCCCTCCTCCTTTCTTTGTACTCAGACTTTTTCACCTTTCACTTTCGCAGGTCGATACTGCTTCAAGCATAAGTAGTTGCTAAACAAGTACCGCTCACGACTCGGTAAACATAAATACAAACACTGTTTTACAGAATCCAGTTTCACAGTTTCCGTTCCATCATGCACTTTTTTTTCCATTTCCATCACTACCTTCAGTTGAGAGAAGCCAGTATCTTTGAAAGCTGTCTATTCTGGGGAAGGAGCTATCTTCATTTTCACACCGTGAAAAAAAAAAAAAACAATGCAATTAAAGCCACATAGGAAGCAGAAGTATAAACAAACCCTGCGATATGAAATTTTTTTCGAACTTCGTCAAGAACTCGAGATAGAGCAAGTCATCTGAAGATAAAGCTTCTTCACCCACCACAGCTTTCATTGCTTGTACATCTTTTCCGATAGCATAACATGCGTACAGTTGATTGGAAACATCTGAATGATCTTCACGTGTCATCCCTTCACCTATGGCTGACTTCATCAGACGTGACAGTGATGGTAGCACATTGATCGGTGGGTAGATTTGACGGTTGTGCAACTGACGGTCTATATAGATTTGTCCTTCGGTAATATAGCCGGTTAAGTCAGGTATTGGATGTGTTATGTCTGAAAAGATCAATTGCCTAAATGAATTTCAAAGGTTGTCTTGCAGCCGCAAGTGACGTATAAACGGAGATGGCCTTCTTTTTTTTACACAAAGATCAACAGGTAGCATTACGTTCAGTGAAGCAAAAATCAGTCAACTGATATAAGCAATTCAACTGATATAGGCAAAACGAATTTGAGATCACCGTGTCACTTTTAGCGAAAGCACAACAAACCATCATTGGGCATTGACAAGATGGGAATCTGAGTAATCGAACCATTACGTCCTTCTACACGACCAGCACGTTCATATATGGCAGCCAAGTCAGTATACATGTAGCCTGGAAAACCACGCCGTCCAGGCACCTCTTCTCGAGCTGCTGATACCTAAAAGGAGAGATGCATAAATATTCGGGTTTGAGTGTTTAAAATATTTAGCTTCTTTTTTTTTTTAAAAAAGTCAATTCAAAGACTACAAAAACTCAGTCTTACCTCCCGAAGTGCTTCAGCATACGAAGACATGTCAGTCAGAACAACCAGTACATGCTTCTCACATTGATAGGCCAAAAATTCGGCAACGGTCAGTGCAAGACGAGGCGTAATAATGCGTTCGATACTAAAAAATCCAAAAAAGGACAATGCATTGATAAGAAAGTTCAAAATTCAGTATTCTTTGTTTCATTAGCAGTTATGTTCTCCTGATGAATTTGATGTCATAAGCATTATCACTGGCCACAAAAATTGCAAAGACGTTCAAATTTTCAGTCCATTGCATTTTGCTAGAATAGCATACATATCAGGTGTAGATTTAGTTTCTCTTGATATCTGTCTCTCACTTCAACTCGCCGTACACCCTTAAAAAAATTGATCACATTTAAAATCTAAAATCATAAATAAGCTCAATTGAAAAAAGTACGTTGGATCATTCGCAAGATTCAAAAACAGGCAAACGTTCTCCATGGAACCATTCTCTTCGAAATCCTGCTTGAAAAATCGTGCGGTTTCCATATTAACACCCATAGCCGCAAAAACGATAGCAAAGTTATCATCCTTGACATCATAGTGCTTATCAGGTAATTTAACAAGTCCACCTTGACGTACAATTTGTGCCGCAATCTGAAATTTTCAGAAGCAAACTGAACTTACACAACCGTTATTAAATTGCGGAGCAAATAAGATCTATCAGACTAATAATCAAAATATAGGATAATAACCAAAATATCAGGAGACGTTTCTTGAAATCCGCATAACCTACTTCGTTATGTGGAAGACCGGCGGCAGAAAAGATCGGTATTTTCTGACCGCGAGCAATAGAATTCATCACATCGATTGCAGAAATTCCTGTTTGAATCATTTCTTCCGGATATATCCTGCATCGTGGGTTGATTGGTTGACCGTTGATATCGAGGAAATCTTCTGCCAAAACTGGTGGACCCTGAAACAATCTCATAGAAATGCTTCTATCCCGGCATTGTAAAAGCCAGATTTATGGCTCTATCTGTAACTGAAAAGGTAAAGCAAAAAGAATGGAATAAACAGCATTCACCTTATCGATTGGTTTGCCAGAACCATTTAATATACGGCCAAGCATATCTTCCGAGACAGGTGTCCGCAGAATGTCGCCTGTGAATTCACAGGATGTATTTTTGGCATCTATTCCCGCAGTTCCTTCAAAAACCTGAAGCCCATTTTGTAGCTCTACTTGATTATTTATAGAGCGGATGCACTTTCGACACACTATTTAAGAAAGTTCTAATTAATGCTTCTTTTTGGCCCTTCTTGGTTTACGCCTTTAAATCGTTTACAATAGGATCTCTTATCTTCTCCCTATCTTTTTCGCATTACATATATAAATATATATGCAAATCTCCGAACTATCAACATCACAACCCTCACAATCTCCGAACTACCAACTTTTTTCAACCAGAACAATCGAGCTATGATACCAGCAGACATTACATTTTGATTCATCAAAAATTCTTGTACATAGATGGCGACACTAACTACTTACGCCAGATACAGAGATCCAGAATGTGACAAAACATACTGGTAGTAACTTCCAATATATTTTTGAAAGAAGATTTTCAAAGGCCTTAGACAACTTCAAGAAACTTATTTCCAAGCTTTTTATATATTTGTGAGTCCTAGAATTTCGAACATATAAGTAAAAACACCTTTTTCTGGGTGCGAAATATATATTGCTAACATGCTTAAATATCTTCGTTAAGTTGCATAAAAGTAAACAATAATAAATACAGTAAACAATAATAAATAACAATAATAAATAATAAATACATAGCTTCAAAATTACTAACTACAACTAATCTACAATAACTGAACTATTACGTTCCTGAAGAGCATGCAATGAACATACCTGGACAATGGCTTTATTGCGGGTGATTTCAAGAACTTGTCCAGAACGTTTCGTCCCATCAGGCAGCGTTAATTGTACAATTTCGGCGTATTGGGGAAATTTCACATCACCCAGAATAACCAATGGACCATTCACACCAGTTACCGTCTTATACGCTACAAAAGTGAACTGATGCACAAATCTGCAAATCTGACAAGTTGACAAGCAACAATGAGAAAATCTTACTGAGCCGTGGGCTGGTCTTATAGTTCTTTATAGTAACACCTTTTTGACCACTGATTCCTTGATTCACGTCAATAGCCGCTTTCATTTTTTTTCACTGCTCTGAAATTTCTTATTCAATTCATTTCATTTTTCGAAAATATTTTGAAACACGAGAAAATTGAATAGCTTTGAATATTATCACCTCATTTCCAAATTATGTTTCTTTCTTTTACAGATGCTTCTTGTGGTGTGTACTCACTTCCTCCATTATTCTATATCCTATGACTGAGAATTGGAAGTTCTGAGTAAACTTAAATTTATAATACATGGCGAAAAAACACAAGCTCCCAAAAACACAACGTCCCAAACAGAAACCAAATAATTGAACGTGAATCAAAAAAAATATTATGCCATGTAGACGTTAAATATATTGGATATCGGATGGACAGAAGTCAATACTAGCCTAATCATCTCTGTTCGCTATTCTAAAACAGTCACACATTTATGGACGAAAGTAGAAGCGAGATATAAACGAAATCCAAAGAAAGAGAAGCAATTAAGCTTCTGTGCTTATCCTACTTGTTAGTTTAATTAATTGGCGATAATATGCGAGATACGTACGAATATTTATTCACGAATCCTCATATCTGTGGTAAATCCCACTGATAAAGATTCACGTAAACCATTTCAATTCCGTTCCGTCCAAAACCCTTTCCGTTCCGCCCAAAGCCCTTTTTTGACATCACCTCCACTTTTCACATGTAGTCAGCGTAATCGCTTTGCAAATTTAATGCGCATCAACCGCAAGACTAACAAACAAACGAGTGATCTTCGGTCTCAGCAAGAGATCACGGCCCTATGTAACCAAATTTTACGGTCCAAATGGGTTAATGTCACCATACGGTGACTCTGTAAGTAGTTGATAGGGAAGGAAGGAGGTAGTAGTATTTTGGGTAAATTGATTTCTAGCCATTTCAGGATTGCAGCTTGAAATTACCGAGATTCTTTCCGAGGATTCATTAAGTTTATGATGATACTATCTCTGAACAAACAATGTTTTTTACACTCACGACAGAAGTATTTAGTACTGTCGAAATTCCTTTCACTCGAAAAAAATTCAAAGTACAGCAACTATTTATCAATGGTTTGAGCAAATTCTTCTAAAGACGAAACCATACGTCGATCTAGATTTTAGGACAAGATCGTACGATTTCCGTAGCCTGATATCCTAGCTCTTTTAATTAATTGAAACCCAATAAGCAAAAACAGACATCAGTTCCAAAAATAATCCATCTTTGGGTAGTTTAACATGTTTAATTTTTCGTCAAACACAGTCATGTCATTGACTCAGTACGGTACTTTTTTTTTTCCAAACTAGTCCATACCCAATCACAAAACAGTTCTCTCAATCTTTACTTTTATAATTCTTCCTTCCCATGTACCTTTATGATGAAAATCAAGGGAAATCTTTTTGCACATGCGAACTTTCTTATCTAAATTACATATCAGCAAAGTGAAAAAAAAAGGAAGTATTAGTTACCTTCGATCCTAATCACTTTTGAATCATATGGCCGCCAAATTATTTCCATATATCTTTCTGGATCCAGTCCTAGAACAGTTTGGTTTTTACTCTCTGAGATTTTAGTCCAGTAAGTAATAAGTATCCCGTAATTGGTTCATGCAATGCTTTCAAATCCACACATAACTAACTTCCTTAACATGAAAATCTCTGGATTGTATTTCAACAAGACAAAAATCAACGTAATACTAATCTAAATCTTGCGCAATTTTTGTCAGAATAACTGAAATATTTTGGAATAATCAACTATTTTTGGTTGTAGGAATATCTTAGAATAATGAAGAAAATTTCTAACAAAATTTACAATAAAGGATATGACTTCAAATATTTGTTAACTGTTGTAATTTTCAATGTTGCAAAGATCTCTTCATCTATAAAGAAGCGTGAGATTTATTGTGTCGTATTTCAAACCCTTTTAATCAGATAATGAGCTTAATTTGGTTGGCTAAATTGTTGCAAACAACTCTTACTATATAAAAATAAGGATCAAATACCAGATTGGTTCTGGCTGATTTTTGTTCTCAGGAATTGTTATTCCCTTAACTCTCAATAAACTGCTGTACTACTTGATTCCTAATTCTCAACTTCTATCGTGAAATGGAAACCTTAAATAAATTCATTTACATTGTAAATTAATGCTAATGATACTATGAATCACTCTTAACATATTTACATTCCTTAAAATTGTTTTCCACACTTTTTTGTTGTTATCATATCTAATTTGCATTTTTATGTTTAAACCCTTAATTTCCCATGTCAATCATTCTGTTTAATCTTGTTATAATGCTTGTACCATATCCGGTGTGTTTCCGATACTTGAATTCTTCATGTAAACCACTCCCATTCCTTAACATATATAATCTCGGTCCCAAATCCGGGGCAGGCTTTGAGCTGCTCTCCTCTTCGAA